TTTGCCCTCAGCACCACTTGGAAGGCACAGCCTGGAGATGACCCTCCTCCCTGCACCCTCAGGAAGGGACAGCCCTGGGAGATGGGGACTTATCGGTGACCCTCCTCTCTCTGCTCCCAAGGAGTCCTGGGCCATGCTGATCCCCCTCCAGCTGAGTGGCCTCGGGCCCAGTCGGGGCTTCTCCCATCCGCATTTGCAGACGGCCTGCCTGGTGGGCTTCGAGGTGGGATGCGATGAAATCAGGAGCCCCCATCCTGAGCCCTTGCCGCGTGCCGGGCCTATTCCAGGTACTGCCGGACACCCTCCCCGTAGCACTGGAGACATACAGACCTCGGCATTGGCAGTGCCCGTGACCATGTGCCCCCTTCCAGAGCCCTCTCTCCAGCTCTGCTGGGCGGCTTGCTCCCCAGAAGGGAATGGAGACGCCCCATCACTCCCACCTGAATTGTTAAGGATTAAATAGGGGTGACAGGTACTTGTCCAAAATATGACTTTCTGAACTTTTCCATGCACCGGAAATGTTCTGGGAAACCATCACACCGGCCCAGTGCATGGGAAGCCGGCCCGGGAGAAGGAACTGGGTCAGGAAGGGCCCGAGCACCTTACCATCCAGAAGTGATGGCAGAGAAGAGGGAAGGCCATGGGCCTTGGAGAAATGCTGGGATCATCGGGATATTTCCGGAAGCCTGGAGTTCCCCAGTGCACTGTGAGCTCCTGGCAAGGGTGTGGATGGGCTGTGCCCATCAACTGGCAGAGCTAACCTGGATGCTCACGGTGTGAAGCCCAGCAGCAGACACCTGCCCGCTACCTGCCCAGCTCCCCATGGGGAGCTCGTGGTGGAGCTGGGATTCTAAGCCGCCCGAGAGCCTTGAGCTTCCACCTCCAATGTAGACCTCACTCCTGCCCTGGTGCTAGGCCGGTTGCAGGCCTGTTCTGGGGTGCAGGGCTGAGCCTTTGGGCCTGCAGGCCAGTGATGGTGGAGAACTGGCCCCTGGGTACAGGGCTGGCCCCCAGCTCCCAGCCCTGGGCCTGTCCGGAAAGCACCGCCGCTGCATACGCGGGTTTGCAATGGCTTGTTGTGCTGTTGCTAAGTTCTGCGCTGATCAATCTGGGCCTCATGGGTTTTTTCCCTCTGGTTTCATGTTCTGACGGGAACTGAGTGGATCTGGAGCGAGTTCACCGCAGCCACAGCATTCCAGAGGGTGTTACGTTGTGAGTTCCTCCTTGGCCCTGCTCGGAGCCCACACCCTCCCAGCTGCTGGCTGGAGGCTGCCGTGTGCGCAGATCCACACGGCTGGACCCTCGGGAATCTGCTGTCCTTTCTGGAATCGAACTCCTTCCAGTGAGGGGGCAGAGGCTTTAGGGTCAAGGCCAAATTCCGCTCCTTGGTTCCACAGCTCACTTTTCTGGCATTTAAAACTCCACAGAGTTCATTCCAAAAGTCACCACCCCCCACCCCCCCAGCTTCGTATCCCACAATGCCCTTCACCGTCTCTGGCCTGGCGCAGAGAGCTGCTTTCCCTTAAGCATCCTGTGCCTGGAGCGCCCCTCTCCCTGTCCTACCTCCACCCCCCAAGTCTGACCCGCCCTTTCTGCTTCCTCCCTCCCTTCCTTCACGAGAAAGTAAATATTTAGAAACCATGTTTCTTCCCCTCTCCCTCCTTCCCTGCAGCCTCTTCCCCTTTCTTCTTTCCTTCAGGCCATATTATTCTCTCCTAGAGCTTACACTCCAGACAGACAGACAGACAGTCCAGCGTGTGTATCCCTTGCCCAAAAGGTTTGGGCCCAGATGTATTTTGGATTTTTTCAGATTTTAGAAAATTTCATATTCATAATGGGATATCTTGGGGATCGAACCCCACTCTGAGCACAAAGTTCATTTCGGATTGATTTATAGCTAGCACACATGTCGTGAGGGCCATTTATACAACAGTTTTGTATTGCAATGTTCTGGCCGAGGCCCATCGAGAGGTCAGGTGTGGAACTTCCTTCCTGCGCCCCATGTCAGCACACAGCGTCAGTCCGGGAGCCTTCCAGATCTCGGATTCTAAGATCAGGGATGGGCAACCTGGGACGCTCGACTTGTGTTGTAAATTTTACAACTAAGCGATTTATACTTATTTATAATGTAATTCAGAAGAAATACGCACTTGAAAGAAAAACTAAGGAGGAAGAGGGACGGAGAGAGTGGAGGGAGTCTGTGGGCACGGGAGGCGGAGCCTCTCGGAGGAGGGTACTTGAGGCCAAAAGAGTTCTGGAGGGGCACCATGGGAGGGGCCTGCAGGTGCAGCGGGGCTGGAGTAGAGAGGATGGCGCCTCCCTCCAGCATAAGGGGAAGTTCCCGGAAAGGTGGGCAGGGAGGAGAGTCACTGCCCAGGACTCATCTGGGAGCTCCTGCCAGGATCTAGGTGAGACCCAGGGGCTAAGCCTGAAGGCCAGCCTTGGGCAGGCCGTGAGCGGGGCTCCGTCCAGGATGCGTTTGAAGGAGGAATGTGTGGTGGGGTAGGGGTGTGAGGAGGACCAAGGGGTCGATGCCGCTCCGGGTCGGGGTGGACACTGAGGAAGAGCTGCAGAGGCAGCAGGGGACAGTGGGAGCAGAGCAGGTCCACAGGCCAGAAGGTCCACGGGGCGAAATGTGCATGGGGTGACATTGAGAGGGGAGTCAGGGTTCTGGACTGGGGAGCCTGGGCAGCCACCCCAGGTTGGTTCTGAAGACAGCAGGCGCCCTACCGGGTCTAGGCAGGAGAGTTCCAGAACCAGCCCGGGGCTTCCTGCCTCTCTGAAGAGCCTCCGGGTGCAAGGGCCCTGCCTCATCACGCAGGCCCTTCATCGCACGATCCGGACTTGGGCTCTCCGTCTTGGCTTTACTCCGAAAGCTCCCCGTGTGCTGGGCAGGGCACTAACTCCAGCTGGGCTGGTCCGAGGACAGGCGCGGAGGACTGAGCGCCGCTGCTCCCGGAGGGGACGGCACCAGAAGAGTGACTTGCCCCGGTCACACAGCTCAGAGCTGGGCTTCAGGCCCTGCGGTCCGGCCCTGGATCTGCCGTGTGACCTCTGACCCCCATGGCCTGAGCACACGCATGCACGCTAGCTGGGCGCATGGGGAATGCGTGTCCGGGCTCCTGCCCGATGGTCGTCTGCGGCTTCTGCTAGGTAAATATTTACACGTGAGGCCAGACTGGCTGCCCGTGACCCCTGCCTGTCCACGGACGAGGGAGGGCTGCGAGCAGCCTCTCTGTGCAGGGAGAAGGCGGGCCCCACAGGGTCACCCCAGTCCCATGGTCGTCACCACACAGGCAGCGGCCTGCCTGGCCCAGCGGTGGTTTGCGCTCACTGTAACAGGGACAGTGATGTCACCATCTGGAGCTGTCCTTTTTTTTTTGGAGAGGCTTTCGCTATAGGGCGCTTGCGCTCGCCAGACAGACAGAGAGAGACATAGAGACAGAAAGTGAGAAATCACCCCCCAGGGGGGATGGTCACGCCGCAATCCCGTCTCCTCCATTCTCCTCTCGGGATCTTGGGCAGGTACGCACACGCGCCTGGCGTGAGTTTTAAGCCACCGGGTCCGGGACGCGAACCGCGGTCGACTACATGGGAGTCCAGCGACATAGCCATTACGCTAACTGCTGGTTCCCTGGAGCTGTCCTGAGGGTACTGCAGGATGTGCACAGCACCCTGAGAGGCTGCTCTTCCTGTCTCCCACTGCCCTGCCCCTCAGGGAGAACCAGGGTCTCCCCTTTATAGTCGTTCAAGGGTTCACACGCATTTTGTTTGTGTTCTTGTTTTTCGTTTTGAGACATTCCTTTTCTCAGAAAGGGGGACAGGGGCTGGTGAAAGGTTGGGTGGTGGGTATTGGTCCTTCAGCAGCCCGCCCTCAGCCCCCAGTGACGCTGGTGAGGACCCCAGCCCACAAGACTTCCTGGTCGGCCCTGACATAGCAGATCTGGGCCCTTACCTGGGACCTCTGCCGGGTGGGGCTACCAGTCCCATCCAGCAGTAATTCACCGGCTCCTCCCACAGGTGGGAGGGAAAGCCCAGGGTCCGTGCTGCAGATTCCCTGGCCTCCCAGAAGCCCTCCCCGCCTCTGGTGGCCGGTCCCACCCCAGTTCCTGCACTCAGCGGCCACCACAAGGGGAAGGGAGATGGGTCAGAAGGACGCTTCCTCCTGGTGGGACTGAGCTCTCGGTGTCAGAGGATGGGGCAGCACGGGAGGCAGCAGTGACATACAGCCTAGCGGAGTCTGGGGAAAGGCAGGGACGTGCTCATTCTGGCTCGGGGTGCTCGGACACCTGAGTGGTTCTTATTCATATATTTATTTTTGCTAAATTTTCTCCATTAAAAATGTCACACTTATGAGGTTCATTTGCTCTACAGCAGTGACAACTCACATTTTATTTCATTATTTTTCATTTTTGCCAGAGGGCAAGCTAACTGGCCAGAGAGAGAGAGAGACAGAGACAGAAAGATGGAGCCCACTCCGTGGTAGGGCAGGGTTATGGCACAGTCCCTCCTCTTCCGCTTCTCCACCCTGTGGGGATTGGGGCACGCACACACATGCATCCCACCTGCTGGGATTTGGGGCACACACACACACACACACATCCCACCTGCTGGGATTTGGGGCACGCACACGCACGCATCCCACCTGCTGGGATTTGGGGCACACACACACGTGATCCCACCTACTGGGATTTGGGGCACGCACGCTCACGCATCCCGCCTGCTGGGATTTGGGGCACGCACGCTCACGCATCCCGCCTGCTGGGATTTGGGGCATGCACGCTCATGCATCCTGCCTGTCAGGATTGGGGGCACGCATGCTCACGCATCCCACCTGTTTTCAAGCTGCTGGGGCCAGGACCTGAAGTGTCTGTTTGGCCATGTGGGACCCAGTTCCCTCTACCGCCAGGTTGTGGGCTGGTCCACAATAACATTATCAATTCACTCTGCACTATGCATATCTCAACATGGGTTTTTTTTTTTTTTTTCCCTCTTAACAGAAAGAAGATTCCACTCCTAGGATATATTCTAAAGACCTGGAAACACATCTACACAAGAGCTTGTCCACGGATGTCCACAGCCACGCTATTTGTCTGCCAAAAAACAGCAACTCGAACGTCGAAGCCACAGCATGAGGGAGACATGACGGGGTGAGTCCACGCGATGGAGTGGCCTCTGACGGTAACAGGGATGGCAGGGCCGACACGGGCAACTGGGGAGTGCAAACACTGCTGTGTGTAAGGCGACGCTCACCAGAGACCCCCTGCCATTCCAGGGACCTATAGGCAATGTCCAGAACGGACAGACCTACAGACAGAAAAGCCGGTCAGCGGCTGACTGGAGCTGGCGGCAGGAGGTTGGGGGGGGACTGCTGATGGGGGGGGCTCCTTCGTGGGAGGTAAGGACACTGTCAGCCTGACCGTGGGGATGGCTACACGGCTGTGAACTGACCGCACACCATCGAGTCACACGTGTCCCATGGCGAGCTGCATGGTACGTGAATGAGATTTTAACCAGTCCCTTATAAAACCAAAAAGAAAGACGAGCCTTCCCCCTTCGAGCACGCAGTGTCACGGAAATCGATTTCACAGCCGAGTGGTCTGCTTCGGTTCACGTGTGGAATTTGTATTCTCAACAGCTCCCAGTTCGCGCCTCACGTCCACTTTCCTCAAGGTTCGCTTTGTCCTCAGAGGCCGCCCCTGTGTCTCGCCACTGCCTGTCCCCCGTCAGTCACCGTATCTGTGGCCCTCAGCTCACCTCATTCCATGCCCACCGCCGCCCCGACCCGGTGCCCACACTGCCGGCTGCTGCCAGCTCCCACACGCCAGAGCTGCCACCTGGGGCCCTGGCGACGCCGGCCACAATGTTGTGCTGTGTTTGGACGGGGAGCGCGTTCATGCCAGCGTTACCAGGCGCGAAGGGTGACTAATCCCATGTGCATTTTCGGTTGCAGCTGCCTAGACTGTTGAGCGGGAGGACCTCAGACCTCTCAGCTGCTTGGGGAGAAGTCACCTCCCAGTGTGAACGGCTGAGCAGGAGCCCCGTTCTCCGCCTCCTCAGCCAGCACTACACACACGTGTGTCCAGCAGGTATTTATTAAACCCCTACTGGATGCCGGGCAATATTCTGAGGACACAGCAGTAGCAGGAGAGTCCCTGCTCTAAAAGATTATAAAAAATACACAGGTGAAAGCAAGAGGGCCAGCCCACGGCGTGGTGGTTAAGGCGGCTGGGTCCCACATGGCCAGCGACACGGTTTGAGTCCCAGACTCTGGCTTGAGAAATACGCCCAGCACATGTACGTGCAAAAACCCCGAGAGGAAGGTGAGAAGATGTGGGATAAGAAGGGTCCGACACGGTCCTGCCTCTGCAGGAGAGCAATGAAGGAAAGCCGCAGGGGCTCACAAGTCAGGAACAGGGCCTGATGCGTGTGTTCTCTTCGCGCTTTTCTAGCTGGAGTGAAAGAGGCAGAGAGGCACCCCCACAGGGCCTTTCACACCTCGACCCACCCCGCGTCTCAGCCAGCCTGGATCATGACCACACATGTGCATGCTCGGGAGGTCCCGGGACGCAAACCCAGGACCTTTCCCATGTGGGCCCCATGTGCTGCCACGACACCACCACCAGCTCCTGGCTTGTATTGTTGATAGGTCACTCCAGCTGCTGGGTAGAAGATCAACAGGTAGTGGGTGACAAGAAAGCCCCGGCCGCAACAGCCTTCTGTCCACTGGGGACCTGGCTCCGTCTGCCCCCACCTTCTTCCAGTGTCCAGAGGGGGCCAGGGGGACCCAGGGTCACTGCAGTGACGTCAGCGCCTTTACTGTGTTTACTTGACATTTTTTCATTGAAATCAACTGCTCGTACTATTATTTGAATAAATGTTTTAGAGAAATTATATAACACCCAAAGGTAGGAGGTTTAATGCACAAGTAATTTTTTCCTAATTCACCTTAACATAAAACACAGCTACTTAAAACGTTTTCAAATAAACAAGTGAATAATAGTCTTTTTATTGTTTCTCCCCTTTTAAAGAATTATTTATTTAATTAATTCTATTTGTTATTATTATTTTTAAATTTGACTAGAGAGAGAAAAAGAAAATGAGAAAGCAAGCTGCCTGGTCCAAGATTCGAACTATGGTTGGCCATGTGGGAGTCCAGTGCCCCAACCACCACTCCATCTGCTGGCCCTGACAAGTGCAGATAAGAGTAAAGATGAATTGAGAAATTAGAAGAATAAAAAGTTTGCCAGAAACACATGAGTTTGTAGTTTTTTATTACATATTAAAATAAATATTCCATTTAAAAAAATACTAAGTGCCTCGGGGCCGGCAGGTGGTGTGGTGGGTAAGGACGCTGGACTCCCACATGGCCTACCGCAGTTCGAGTCTTAAACCTGGTGGCTTTCTCTCTCTCTCTTACTCGGTCCCTCTCTGGTCAAATTAAAATAAATAAATAAATAAATAAAGTTAAATAAAATCATTCTTTAAAAAAAGAACCTAAAGTAAAATTAGATTAAAAAATCAAAAAAAAGAAGTTAAAAAAAAATTGAGGCTAACTGATTAGTTCTGTTCAATAGCCCGTGAGCAGAAACAATCTGGCCAGAAGTCAGTTGCAACCTTAAATAGGGACAAAACTGGTATCAGCTCTTCTGCTGCAGAAAACATGGAGACCTTATGATGAGGTCCTAGAATCAAGAGATTGTAGCAGTCTAAATCAAGGAATTATTGCATGGAAAAGAGTTAGCCTGATGTGTTACTTGCAACAAACTAAACAAGAATGAGAAATAAACTTTTCATTGTTTTTAATACACAGAAAAATATAGCCTATTCAGAATAATATTAGTTGTATTTAAATTAAACATGGCCGACCGTGGTTCAAGTCCCAGACCTGGTGGCTTGCTTTCTCTTTCTCTCTCTCTCTGTCTTTCCCTGGTCAAATTAAAATAAATAAATAAAGTTAAATAAAATAATTATTTAAAAAAAAAAACAATTAAGTGCCACTACAAATAAGGCAGTTTGGAAAATTGTGAAGTCTCAGTTGGGACTGGGGACTTTAGTTTTAGACAGTCCCTGGCTATGCTGCCTCCTGGCTCTGTGGCTTTGAGCTGGTGACTTGACCCCTCTGAGTCTCAGTCTCGTCAGTGAAGTGAGGACAGTGACTCAGTGTCATGAGATTGTTATGAGAACCAGCGTGTGAGAACAGTGCCGCCGAGATTACCCAGTGACAGAGTCAAACCGACCGCAGTTAAACTCCGCCAGACCCTCCCAAGTCCCATGTACACCGCGGCCGTCTACTGTGTATACGCCCTAACGAGGGCCGAGGGCTCGGACACGCACAGAATGGTCCCAGCCCTCAGGCTGCGGGTCTCCAGCTGGGGAGACCTCTGTAACGAGGCATGATAGAAAGATGTTAGAAGGGACACGGGTGGTCACAGAGGGGCCGGATGGGGTCTGCATAGGACAGATCCTGGACAGCTTCTGGGATAAGGGGCTGGTTAATCTGGCTTTTGAAGAAGGAAAGGAGGGTGCCAGGTGGACAGAACTTCAGGCAGAGGGCACAGCACGTGTGAACATTGAAAGGCCCCAAACCCAGCGACTGAAAGGGAAAGTGCAAGAGGCTGGCATGCAGGAGACGCGCCAGACACCCCTTTACTCCAGCTCCACCCATGGGGGCGGCAAACCCAGGCCCCTGGCCCCCGGCCTCCACTTTTCATGAGCTGAAGTGGAGGTGATGAAACTGGAAGTTCAGTGAAGAGTAGAGGGAACCCAGGCTCCGGGGCAGACGGCCATGTGCTTGGCCCTCTTCTGACCTGTGCTAACTGGGCCTGTGCTTTTCCTCCTCTGTGACATGGGAGGAAGGTCCCTGATTTGCTGAAGTAAGTGGGACAGTGTGGGGTAAGGGCTGGGGCCCGGGCCTGGCTCCCAGCCAGCACTCAATGCCCGGCTTCCTTGTCCTGGTCCCTCCGCCCTGGCCCGCCCCCACGGCAGTGCGCAGTGGTTGAGCCACCCAGGTGTGGTGGGAAGGAGTCCCCGCAGCTGCCTGCCTGGCCTCGCTGCAACCCAACCGGCTGAGCCAGCCTGCCCTTCCTCTGGCCACACCAGGCCCGGTCCACACCCAGGAGTTCCCGGGTTGGCTGGCTGGACCGGACCCCAGGTGGGAGGGTCTTGGCACACTGTAAGGAAGCTGGGCGGCTGTGCACTCGGGCTCTGCCTCAGTCCCAACCAGAAACCCCTTCGCTGAATCTCACTGCAGCCTCTCCCTCCCCCATGCTCACTGCTCATGCAGCCAGAGGCAGGATTCACACCCAGGCCAGGGGCCCAGAGCCCCGGGCGCTGCCTGCCGTGCACGTATGTGCCCATGTCTGTGTGTTCTAAGCCCCGCCAGGGCTCCTCTACCTGCCTTCCCAAACACCAGCCCCTGCACTCCAGCCGCAGGCCACCACTTGCAGTTCCGGATGGTTCTGCCGGTTTCACCTGTGCCGTCTGCTGGCCAGAATGTGCTTCTTCAACCCCCACTCCTCCCTTCGCACCGCTCCCACCCAGGGAACTTCTACGCATCTCTCAGGGCCCAGCTCAATTGCCTCTTCCTCCGAGAAGCCTTCTCTGATCCTTAGTCCAGAGTCAATCCCACCCTTCTCCTTGGTCGCGGGGTACCTCTAACTCACAGTGACTGTGGCGAGCCCCGGGAAGACAGAGGACAGACCGTCAACTCCGACATTACCGGCATCTACTAAGGTCTGAATGAAGAGACAAAAGCCAGAACGCCATCGGCCGCCGGCTGCGCATGCTCCCGAGGACAGCGGTTGTGCTTGGCGACTTCGGACGTGCTGAGAGCCGAGTGTGGGCACCCACCAGCGCTCCCGCAGGCAGCCCCCCAGGCTGCACGGCACAATGCCAGGGGACCCTAGCCACATGGCTACGATGGGAATGACACCCTTGGAGGTGGACGACATGCCAGGAGCCCTGACCCTCGCCCCTGCAGCCCATCAGGTGGTGGAACATAAAGGGCACAGGCTTTGGACTCAGATCCCCCTGGGTTCAAATCCCAGTTTGGCCACTTACCTGCTGTATGCTCCCAGGCAGGCGGTGTCACCTCCCTGAGCTGCTGCAGTAAACTAGGAACAGGACCCCTCACGAGAGCCATGAGAATGAAACGGGAAGAGTGGGCCCACAAGGACTGCTCACGCTCTTTTCTGACCTCAGGAATTGTGTTCCCCCCAAGCTGCCGCAGCGGCCCGAGGCCGGGGACTTCCTAGACTGGCTGTGAAACCTCTCAGTCCTCGCCCCTGGAAGCCAGGACCTAGGTCACGCTGTGACACGCATGGGTAGGGCTGGCTCCTCTCAAACTTTATCTCGTAGACGTCCACACTGACTGTCCCAGCAAGTGCCGTGCCCACACGCGTGCCTGAGAGCACACACAGAAGCTTCGTGCACAGAGGCCGGGTAGGGGATGCTCCATGCCATCAGGACAGGCCCATGCACGAATCAGGCTCACGCGTGTAGTGGGTGTCACCCGGCCACGGCAGCGAGGCAGCTCTCCACACATTCCAGACGAAGCAGGAGAAAAAGGAACTTGTGGGACAGTTTGTCTCCTGGACCGACCTGGGGCTGGGGTGTACCCAGAGAACACAGAAAGTGACTGGAGGTGCCCATGGTGGTGGCTATCGGGTGCACTGGGGCTGCGGACAGTGAACTCCTTACGCACTGTGCTGCTCTGGGCGTGAGGTCTAGTTCTGTCCGAGGCTCTCATGGAACCTCCCTGAGAAAGGCTGACCAGACCATCTCTGGAAGAGGGATGACGCAGGAGATAATGCCAGCTCCAGCAGAGACGGAGAGGCTGGCGGAGGCATGGAGAGACCATGACCATCTCAGACCAGACCAGACCCTGAGTACTTCTGAATCTTTTGCCCAGGCGGGATTCAACCTGTGATAACCAAAGCAAATCATTTAAAATAAGAATTCTGTGGGCCAGCACACAGTTGTGTGGGCATAGTGGTTAAGGCATTGGACTCCCACACAGGTGACCATGGTTCAAAACCAGACCTGGCACTTGAAACTCATGCCAGGTGTGTGTGTGTGTGTGTGCACGCGCGCGCGCACATACCCAGAATCCCAGGAGAAGAGCTTGCAGTGTGGCCATCCCCCGGGGGGTGATTTCTCACCTTTTCTCTCTGTTTCTCATCTGAGTAACACACCCTATGGCAAAAATCTCTCTCTTAAAAATAATTGTATAAGGCAGAGACATGTGAAATAATGATAATAATTTGCCATTAGACCTTGGGCAAGGCCCATGGGAGTCAGTTTCCCGGTCTTTGAAGGGAAGCCCATCCCTAGCAGAAAGCCTGGGACTTCACGTCTGAGAGCTGCCAAGGCCCAGGGCCGGGGTGGAGGCCTGGACTTCGGTGGGGCTGAGCCAACTGAGGCAGCCTCGTCCTCGGAGGAGCCGCCCCAGACTCGGCCCCCACTGTGTCCCCGCAACAGCAGCTTCTGTTTACCCGTCTCCAGGGAGAGGGTTACAGCAGCCCCTGGCTCGAGGGCTCTAAATTTAAACACCAGGTTCTGAGCAGACAGGACAGAAAGACCAGACCCTGGCTACCTACAAGACGCATGTGCTAAAAAAAGATGACCCCAAGTGCAAAGGACAGGAGAGAAAGCAATCTCCCCCTCCCTCCCTCCCTGTCCTGCCTGCGTCCACACTCTGACTCCCCCAGCAAGTGCCCATCCTCCAGGGAGGGGCAGATGTCTGTTCTCTCTTAACCCCAAATCTGGAATCTCAGAGCTGACTAAGCTGAAGAATCCCATCTGGGAGTAATAGATCAGAACAGATCACAGGCCCTAGCCTGGTGATTCTTGGGTAGCTATTTGAACTTCCTGATTTTTCACAAGGGTTTCCGTGTGTTTTACAATTTGTGTAGCTCAGAGTCCTAACCTGGTCTACACCTGGTGACTGGCCGTCAGG